GTATCTTGCTTGTGTGTTTGAGTATATGAAGTCTCTTGCTAGTGTGATTGAGTATTATAAGTCTCTTACTTATGTGTTTGAGCATTGGAAGTCTCTTGCTTATGTGTTTGAGCAATTGTAATTAGTAGTGGTTATAATGAAGTCCCTTGGAAGTGCAAGGAGACTGGACTACTCTTATTTTGTAGAAGGAACCATTATAAAATTGATGCATGTCTCTCTTTATTTCTCTCTATATCTCTGAACCTATTTTTATCTGCTGCAAACACTTGCCTTTGTATCAGATTTTATACCTTGTGTTCAGAATATAATAAAAGTCTTTTACAAAAGAAAGAAAAATATAACACAATGCAACCCGTCCTTCTTGTGTTTTTTCTCACCTTCAAGCTAATCATAGTGATTGTAACAATTACCACGAGTTTAGATGGAGAGAACATTAAAATCAATGAAGAATAAGGTCTTAAATGGCTTCAAAAACTCTCAAAATCATCACTTTTGTAATTTTAAATTGTTTCTTTCTCTATCAAATTTGGAACCCTAAAAAAGGAGCCAACATTCTATATTTAATAGTTGCAAAAATGTTAGGATTTTTTGCCTCATCACACCACTCGCGCCACGATGGAAATCATCGCACTCACATGGAATCTAGAAGCAAATGCTTTTATTTTCTTCCTTTTCCCCTCAAAATCCCTATAAGTCTTTTTTATTCACACTTTTGCAACTTTGTTTCATTCTTTCACATTTTTGCTCGGCTTTTATTCATTATTTCTCTGATTCCTTTGAAATTTGCTAGTAAAAATCACGTAATGATGATTGTCACCATGGTCAAAATTAATTTTAAGAAAGGTTTTGAAATAGAAGAAGTTTGTAAAATCATTTTGAGAATGTGTGTGGATTGCCTTAGTACTTTGAGAGATACTCGTGCTTAATTATAGATTATTGATCCTAAATAGATAAAATTACAATCAATTAATCTTTGATTTGTATATAAGATGAAGTGTTATAACATCATGCACTAGATGAAGAGGAGTAATCGAGTTGTCCCCTTATATGCGGTTGTCGATGTCAGACAAGCTTTTTGGGAGAATCCTGTAAATAGGCCCCCTACCACTTTGTCCCTGGTTACCCTTCCCGTCCTGATCTAAGTGGAAGTTCAGAATTCTTTGGATTGAGTCGTGGTAGAGAGTGCTCCACGTCCGTCGCTGATCATAACCGAAGGGAGTCCTGTCACTAGGCCTATTATCGGGATGACCGTTTGATTAGATTCAACAGTGAAATTCATGATAAAGGACATAATTATGTGTTCTCAATAGAGATGAGAGCATATTTATTATGTTGTCTGTACCATTCCCTTAAATTCTTATTATTGGACGTTGCAGAAGATTTCATAATATGATAATGACGTAGATATGACTTACCTAAGCAAATCAATTTTCCTAAGTTAAAATTTCACCTTCACACCAGTAATGAACTAGTCTCTAAATTGAAAAAACTTTATTAATTTAATTTCATTTAAAAGCATTAAACAATATATCCAATTTAACCCACATATGAAGTTAAAAAAGCCTAAGAATGATATTCCTATTTGGTGGATTTGAACAATGCTCTATTCATGTGAAGCTAGATATCAAACAGTTAAAAATCAACACAACCCCACCCTTTCACACTCGAAACAAAAAATACACCTAAGCTCGCCATCATCATATAAAAAAGAAGGCAATTTCTCATTGTACCCTTACACCATTTCACAGGTCCTGCGAGAAATGTCTAAAATACCCCATGTTTTCGGAGATATTCCAGACACACAAATTCCAGTTTTTTCTAAATAAAATTCGAAGATGCACAATCAAAGTCTTTTTAAGAGTGTTTTCGGAGATATATCTCCGAACATAACTTGGTTCTAGAAAAAAACAAAAAAAAAACAGAAACATGATAAAAGAATGAAAATAAAAAACAAACCAACACCAACGTTAACATTTCATTACATAAAAACATTCATTACATATATAGTCATGAAAATATATTCAGCACTACATAATCATTTCATCGGGATATTGCAACATGATAATTATATACTCGACAGATATTTGAATATTCACATCCACTTTAATCGGACCCTTTGATTCATAACAGAGAAAAATACTCCACATAACCTTTAAAATTTCAACTGTCTTCAGTTCAATGTTGGTGAAATGAACCTTCCCTTTGCTGTTAAACGAGGGTGACCGATACTCGAGCTTGACAACTCTACGATTTTCTGGAAAACACATGAGAGTATTCAGTTTGGATATTAGATCTCCGAGAGATATTTCCTCGGTGATCCTAAATGAAAGTGGTAGAGTCTCGCTAAATACACAAATGCAAGGTGGGGATATAAGCTCATTCTCTATTTTTAGTGTGTTGTATAGCAAATAAGTATTGGGACACACCCTATTTATATAAATATTGAGTCACTTTGGACCTCAAAATCCTTATCATGCATCCGATAACTTTTTGGAAATACATATCCGAATAAACCACACCTTTTATTACAAAACGGACGACTTCAAAGATACAAATTCGAAAATTAAATGAGGTAAATTCGATGTATGTATCCGAAAACTTACCTAAACCAGAGAAAAAAATAGAAACTTTGTAAACATGCAGTGCAATATAAACCAAAAACAAACCATAAAATTAATATGTATTAAATCGTATCAAGATTACATTATTGGCGATAATACATATAAAAAGTGTATCAGTTACAATTTAAAATGCATCAAAAGATCCAATATCGCATAAATCTACAGCTGGTTCCACCTTCGATGCTTCTTAATTTGATTCTCTTTCAAGCTTCATCAATTTGGTGAACTCTATCATCGTCTGCATAAATTGATCCGACCAAGTTTCCGCCTTATTTGTTGAATGTGCCATCCACTCCACCGATGTAGTTGGTATTGGACACCCATATTTCAAATAAACATGAACAAAATAAAGTGATTTTAAAATCCACCCTATGCACATGATGCATTCGGAAGGGTTTTTAGGTGGACCACTCTGTATTGGAAAAATGTTTCCGAGAACTCATATCTTGTCAGATCGATACACACTATGTCATATGCACTTGCTATAAGGTGGTCCATATTAGGGAAGCACATCCATTTTTAAAATGACGCTTTACCGCAACGATAAGGAGTAAGTTCATCTTAAATTGAATCAAAATGTTTTTTGTCTAATATAACTTCGTGTAGAATTCCCTATGCATCGCCAGCTCTTTTAAAAGTGCGGCTCCGACAAGTTGGTGATCCTCATCTCATTTGTCGAGCAATCCAGATACAACCCGAAAACCGCAATTACCATCATCCCAACATTCACAACCCGTTCAATGTATTTGTGCATAAAAAGCGATATTTCATCAATGAATTCAATTTCGGGCATCGATTGTGGCATCAATGGTGGAGTTGGTGGAGGGTTTGCTAATGCGAGCACCTTTGTGAACATTTTTTATTGTTTAGATTTTGGAGTTCGAGAATCAAGTAAATATGAATCAACATGTTCAAAGTATGATGGATATCGCTTTGTTGTATTATCATCTTGAGTCGAACTTACCTTTTTAGAGGCACCTTTTTGGTTTTAACCGGTTGCGAATGAGGTTTCAAATCTGTGGTTTCCGGAAATGCAATCTTCCTCAACTGTTCTTTTATGTGCAATTTCTCTCGAATCTTATGGTTACAAATGCTTGTCTTCTATTTGAACCATTGTCGGACCTTCCAATAACAATGACAAACCCAAAATTCCTGGCTACCATGCAGACCCATTGAAGCATATGTTCGCGAGTAGTCTACAATTATTCATTTATGAAACATTGGCTAACGTCTATCTCTATCAGTTTAACACCATCCTTCACTTTTTCCAGTTTAACATCATGCTTACTTCAACTGTTTTAACATTATCCTTTGTTTTATCTAATTTTACATTGTTACGTACATCAACTTTGGGAAACATATCAGAGTGGACCATATCTAATAAGAAAGAAAACATGAAAATGCTTGAAAACCAGTAACAGATGAATTCATATATACATATCCGAAATAATGCAGATGAGTTCATATATCCGAATAATGCGAATGTTTTTTAGCACAAACTCAAAATTAATGCAAGTAATGAGGGATGAAATGAGAAAACTTTATCTTAAATTGCAGCTTATTATGCTCCATTTGATGTGATAAAATATAAGAAATCTGATTCGGAATCAAAAAGTTGATTGATAAGGAGATTTTTTAAAGGTTTTTTTTTTTGTCATGGAGGAATTTGAAAAGTGAGAAAAGTGATCATACAAGGTGGTCATATATTAAAGTTTTCACTGAACATTTTTAGATATACATCTCAGAAAATATCATTGAGTGGTTAAAAAAAATTCTTTAAATAAAAAAGTGATTTCAAAAATATATGTGTGAGTTTACCATTAAATATATTCGGAGATACATCTCCAAATTAAATTTTGTATATCCAAATTCATCAAAAAAAAAATACTTTGGAATTTTGACAGGTGCGTCCCATAATAGAATGAAAAATTGCCAAAAAGAAAGGTTAGATTGTCTTGTTGGGCATTATGGACAAAGAACCAAAAAAAATAAAAAATAATAAAGGAAAGAAGAAAGAAGAACAAGAGACAAGATCAAAAGAAAAAAAGGGTCCATTATTCATTGTTTGATTGGGAAGGAAGAAAGCATTTTAGGAAAACAAAACAGTATGTAACCCCCTCTACCTTGTATTCTAATCTTGATAATTTTATTATAGTTCAAAACAAATGGGTACTGATAGTGCTATCACCAACCACTTTTATCTGCCCAACCGCTTCTTTCACTTGGGATCAAAGTCTTCTTCACCGACAGCAACATCTTCATCTTCTTCATTGTTGTTATCTTCACGATCATGATCCTTTGCCTAAATCTCGCTACTGGATCTGAATTACACTCTTACAGATCCACTTTCAAATTTTCACCGCTTTTTAGTTCTTTCTCATGGACCCAGCTGCTTCTCGTCCTGCTGTAGTCATCGACAATGGCTCCGGGTACTTTTTCTTACTCCAATTTTAATATCCCAATTGGGTTTTATCTCGTTTTTTGTTTGTGTCAAAATTGGGACATCACGTGTTTGTTGAAATGTCTGAATTAGGTTTTCGTATTTCTGTGATTGAAATTGGGTTTGATAATAGTGGAACTGAATTGGGTTTACGTTGAATGTGTACAAAAATGGTGTTTTTGTTGCAGGTATACCAAGATGGGGTTTGCGGGTAATGTTGAACCTTGTTTTATTGTTCCGACAGTAGTTGCGATTAATGAGTCGTTTCTGAATCAATCGAGGAGTTCTTCCAAGGGAAATTGGATTGCACAGCATAATGCTGGTGTTATGGCTGATCTTGATTTTTTTATTGGAGATGATGCACTTTCTAAGGCTCGATCTAGCAGCACTTATAATCTCACCTACCCGATTAAGCATGGTCAGGTTGAGAATTGGGATGCCATGGAACGATACTGGCAGCAGTGTATATTCAATTATTTGAGGTGTGATCCCGAGGATCATTATTTTCTTTTGACAGAGAGTCCATTGACAGCGCCCGAGAGTCGCGAGTATACTGGTGAAATCATGTTCGAGACTTTTAATGTGCCTGGACTTTACATTGCTGTGAACTCTGTGCTTGCTCTGGCTGCTGGCTACACAACATCTAAGGTATGTAGTTGGTACTGATGAAAAATATTGTCTTTGTTAATTATGTTGATAGAATGGGAATGATGGAATGGAACTGAACTGTTAGTCTTGACAGTCTCCTGTACAGCTTGCTAGCTATCTAAACTAAAATGTATAAGATGGTTTATCTGCTCCTGCAGTTTGATGCTTTTGGATATCTTGCTTGAAACTGAATGTGAACCACTCTATTGAGTAAGAATTGGTTGTAGTGGATAATTTATCATCGGCCATATAGAATGTAACGTTGGTTCAACATAAATGCATGCAAACATGAAAAGAGTACCATTTGACCTTTCAAAAAACATTGTTTCTTGAATTTTTTGGGCTGATCTAAATTTTTTTTTTAGTGTGAGATGACAGGAGTTGTAGTTGATATCGGAGATGGGTCTACACATGTTGTACCTGTTGCAGATGGTTATGTTATTGGAAGTAGCATCAAGTCAGTTCCTATTGCTGGAAAGGATGTTACTCTTTTTGTCCAGCAGCTAATGCGGGTAGGTAATCCTTGTATATAATTAGAAGGTTATTGGGCCACCACTGGTTCTGAGTTTGAAATTATGTTAATGCATACTTGTTAATGTTAAAGGTTTTCACAGTTTACCAGTTAGACTAGATAATGAAACCATGCACGGGTAAATGCCAATCATGAATGAGTGGGATTTGATGTATCTATGATAATATTATTTACGTACTCTGTTAATAAATAAAAGTCATTTGATTCTTGATCTGCAAGTTACTAATCCTGATCCATGCTCTGTCTCATGTTGACATTGATTTATGCAGGAAAGAGGAGAGAATATACCTCCAGAAGACTCTTTTGAAGTGGCTCGGAAAGTGAAAGAAATGCATTGCTACACCTGCTCTGACATAGTGAAGGTTGTCTTGAGTTCAACACTTATATTGCTTTGGCATAATCATTTAAGGAGTTTGTGGTGTCATACTAGCATTAGTTTTGTTTCCTTGGTTTTTGTTAATCCCAAATTTTTTTGGCTAATGTCTAAACTTCCTCACCACTTTAATTTGATTTTTTATTTATATGTGAAACAAGAAATGTTAAGTTATCTATTGGATTTGATAGTTTTGCTTTATAATAATTGCTCTATTTCTCTTAGGAATTTAATAAGCATGACAAAGAACCGGCCAAGTATATCAAGCAATGGAGAGGTGTAAAACCGAAGACCGGGGCTCCATATTCCTGTGATATTGGCTATGAACGCTTTCTTGGCCCTGAGGTTTGTTCTTGGGCTTTTTTTAGACTTTCTCCATCCTCCATACTATCAGATGGTTCTGAATTATAATACCCGAACCTAGATTATGAACTGATGAAATTAAATAAACATATACCTGATTAGTTCCCATTTCCTGTCATGAAATTAGTGAGGACTACATAAGAAAACGGGAAAAACTTAAAGTGGCATTATTCATTTGGCTTGCCCAGATATCTTCTCTTTATAAAGTCAAATTTTGTTGCTTTTCCTTTTTGGGTTATGAAAGATCTCTAAACTCTAGTAGGGGATGGAGATGGGATGCCTAAGTGCAGGTAATGCAGATCCTGCCTAGGATTTGAACCTGGGATCACTGATCATGTAGTCTCCTAAGAGACTTGATGATACCACGTTGCTGTTGATCTTGGTACTCCTTAAGTTTGTTCCTTCAACTCCGAAAGAAATCATGAAAGTGTAGTATTCCTTAGTGAGATTGTGTAGCCTTGGTGTAATAGTTGAAGTAATGTACAAGTTTGGGTCATTTTTATCTATAGGGTTGATGATTTAAAGAGACTTGTGTGTTTTCCCTACTATTTTGGCAGGTTTTCTTTAATCCTGAGATGTATAGCAGCGACTTTACCACTCCTTTGCCGGTCGTAATAGACAAGTGCATTCAGTCTGCACCAATTGACACAAGGAGATCATTATATAAGGTGAAGCACATCATCTCAATTTTATGGTAACATTTGTATGAAAAAAGCCATGAAAGTGCCTACTTTTGAGACCCAAATATTTCAATATGCTGTTTTAACATGATATTTTTAAAATTTAAAGTTTTAGCGAGTAGTCAGCTTTATCTTTGTATTAGAGAACTTCTATTGTTCAATACATCTGTTCCATGTGCTATATCAGTCCACAGACAAGACCAAATATTTAATTTAGGATCTTATTAAATTCAAGGCCCCCACTCTACATGTTCTTAATGATTGAACTCTTAACCTTAGCCACTTGCCCATTTGTCTTTTTCATTTCAGAATATAGTGTTGTCGGGAGGATCAACGATGTTCAAGGATTTTCATAGGAGATTGCAACGTGATATAAAGAAAATTGTGGATGCCCGTGTCCTTGCAGCTGAAGCACGCCTAAATGGGGAGATAAAAGTGAGAGTTAATGGATATTTCTTACTTAGTTGGTGATGGTTGCATGGGAAATTCTTGTATAATCTTGTTTGCACAAGCTATATGGAGTAAAACCGGTCAACCATTGACACATCATTGTTTTATATTGAATAATTACATAAATATTCACTTACTGTAATTTAAAATAATGATGTGTTCGTTGTTGATTGGTTTGGTTTACTTTACGTAACTCATCAGTCAAGGTCTACACAAGTCCCTCTCCACATGCACTGTTGCACACATGTTTGGAAGTAATTCTCACATTGGCAATGTTTATGAAAAGCCCAGAAGCTATATATTTATTGGTTTGACCTGTCATTTACTGGCTCTTCTTTTTATTGTATGGATTCTACAGTCACATCCCGTGGAGGTCAATGTACTCAGCCATCCTATCCAAAGATTTGCAGTTTGGTTTGGAGGATCAGTGCTTGCATCAACGCCAGAGTTTTTTACGGTATGCTGTTTTCTTTTACATTTTTATGGGTTATAACGTATGACTCGTTGGTTCCACTAGTTCTTGGATAATTTTGGTTTGGAAATATGATACTTAAATCTGCGTTGAATCACAAATGGAGTCTCTAAAATTGTAGGGTCGGACAATTTGATCCTATAAAATTAACGAAGTTCTAAAATGATATCTGAAATTAAAATTTTGATCACCGTAATTTCTCCGATACAATTAACGAAGTTCTAAAACAATTTGAATTTTTGGACCATATTCAGGAACCAAATTGCTCAATGCCTACAATTTAAAGGTCTAATTTGGTGATTCACTAAAAAAATACCGATAACTAGGTTTTTTAGTCGTCTTCCTTGTAAACTGATATATCTGTTTTATGATAAAATTGTTTTCTTAGGGAGGAAGAGTCCATAATTTCTTCTTGTTTACTGCCTAAAATAGAGCCTCTCATCCACTCCAGATGCAAAGCTAATCTGTTTAGACTTTCTGGTTAAATGTGCAGGCTTGTCATACAAAGGCAGAATATGAAGAATATGGAGCAAGCATTTGCCGCACAAATCCTGTTTTCAAGGGAATGTATTAGAGAAAAGATGAATTAGCTGATATCAGACGCCGTATGTTCTCTTGATATAAACATAAAAGAATTAATGTCTGGTTATTCTGAACCTCAATTCACCTCACGGTCTTTCTTCCGATCTATATTCAGGGTGGCAGAAGTGAGTGTAAAATATGTATATTCAGTGAAAACAAATGCATTACCAGTTTTAATTCCTACATTTATTCCTAGGAAGCCAATTTCATGTCATCATATGGTTAATATGGTTGCCAGTACTTATTGGTAGGTAGAATAATATTTTTGACAAAATGTTGGCTGAGCTGAATGGCAATTTTAAGTGTTCAGCTTAGAGTTTGGTAATGTTGCATTTTTTCATTTGTTGTTGGGACTGATATAACATTAAGTACTTCTCTAGGCAGGAAATTAAATTCGTTGGGATTGAATTGTAGCACTAATAAGCAGTAGTGCAGGTTGTGTTTATGTTACTCTCATAGTTTTTGCATTTTTCTTTATGTAAGGCACACTTCTGAACTATAAATGATCTGGACTTCTGAACTATAAATGATCTGAGATATAGTTTTTTTTTTTTTTTTGTGTTATGAGAAATATACACCCCCCTTATAGTTTGAAACTATTCATACATTTTTTTTCCACCACCGGTATAATCTGGTTCGGGGCCCCCAATCGCAGATGTGGGGATCAAGTTGTGGTCCTCTCTATCAAGTCCAACGTCAATTACCATTGGACCAACAAACGATTGATTATTCATACATTTTTTATATACACTCTCTCCGCTGTTGTATTTATGCAAAATAATAAATGGACATCTATTAAAAAAGTTGGTTAACTGCATTTAAATGATGAAATAATAACTGGGCTTCTCAATTTGCCATTGTATTAGTATATATTTTGTTAACTTTTGATGACCCTCGGAACTTTGACAATAGATAATTCGCGCCTTTTGGAAATGAACTTGGAGTGGAAATGAACATGGAGACATGTTTGAATTTCCGCCTTCGTTGCAGTATGTCTCTGGTCGTCTTAATTGTGGCATTTTGACATGCCCCTTTATTATAGCCCTCAATATCTTTATTATGTTGGATTTGAAATGGTGAATTTAGTCTTACATTGCTTAGAGATATGACATGTGTTGTGTTTATTAGTGGATAAAATTTGTACCTTACAAGTTAGTTTTGTAGGGATGAGTTAGATTCAATTCAAATTCTCAGATGATATTAGAGTCTATCTTAGATTCATTGTTGAGTTTCTTGTATCGTGCATGCTTCTGGTTCATTGAGACTCAAGTGTGAGGGATTGCGATTTATCATTAGTTGTCTTAATTACAACACATTGACTTGTCTTCATTGTAGCCTCTAACACATTCACTGTGTTGGGTTTGAAGAGGTAAATTTAGTTTCACATTATTTAGAGATATGAGATATCTAGTATTTATAAATGTGGAAAATTCTCACTTTATAAATCAGTTTTATATGGAAGAATTAGATGCTATCTAAATTCTGACACATGTCAATTCATAACTATTTTAAATTGGAAAAGATTTCATAATTTGATTGAAATTCAAGGTTACATTAGAAATAACAATATTCATTATAATATTAGCAGTTGAATTATGCTTATATTTACTTAAAACAAAATATTTTGAAGTTTATTTTTTTGTTGTTTACAAGACTTGAGGGTAGAATGTTCATAGGTACTAATTGATTCACAAATCCACCGACCCACTAATTGCTTGGACCTATTCACTAATGGGTGTTTTTTATTTAGGGAATTTTTTTTACGCCTCTTATGGGCGGAGAAAAACTTATAAAAATTCAAAAATATTTTTCGGAAGTGCATCTTCGAACGCATCTCAAATTAAGGTGTTTCAGAGATATATCTCAGAAAATAATTTTTTTAGATTTGGACGTTATATTTAAACATACAGTGATATTTTCGGAGATGTTCGGAGATACATCTCCGAAACATCCTGTTTTGGGGTTTTCGGAGGTGCGTCTCCGAAACCCTGAACAAGTGATATATATATATATATATATATATATATATATATATATATATATATATATATATATATATATATATATATATATATATATATATATATATATATATATATATATATATATATATATATATATATATATATATATATATATATATATATTAAATTCTCAATGTCTTGATAAATAATTAGTTGAAAATGATAATAAAAATGCAAATGAAAAATGATAAGACGTAAATAACGATAATAGACCGAATAACTTGTTCAACATTAAAAAAACAAATACAATAATTATTCATAAATTATTCTGAAATAAATAAAAAAGCATAGCTCAAAAAGCATAGCCCACAACTGCGTATACCTGATCTTCACTCCCTGACCCCTTCTCTGTCTAATGTATTCCTCCGCACTCTCTGTCTCCCCAACCATCCTCTCTACAATGACCACCGCCTCAGGACCACCCCGATCAATGATACCTATGTCTAAAGCCTCCCGCCCAATCATCTCTATCCAGTGACAGATCGACAATAGATCAATATAATGGTCATCCTCGGCCTGCTGGTTCTCTAAGATCTCCTTATGAGCTGGTCTAGGTGAACGTCTAGGAGTATCCAGTGTCATGATAGGATGGGACACCGTGTAGAACCATGTGACGTATCTCTCAACACAGTGCCAACTGTTGGATGTCTGCATCATCCGACACTCCTCTGGCACCAAATGATGCTCCCAGTCCTGAAATATGCCATCGAGCTCCCGACAAACAATAGTGTCGGGAGTAGCCTGAAAGGGAGATCTGAGTATGGTCTGCAGATAGCCAAACTGCCACATGCATCACTCTGACAGACACCTGACTATAGTGAACGTTCCATATGCCAACCACCCAGAGTACAGTGAGATGGAGTCGAACTGGATAATCTCCCGGTGCTCCTCGAACAACGTCCATAAGATGTTATCATGGATAATTCTATCCAAATACACCCAGAATGACAACACTTTATGGTTCCCTCTATGGGGGGCATACCAAGAAGCCCTCAACATGCGCTCAATATAATCCCGAGCATAATCGAAACCTTGGATGCGGTGGAAGTGTAAAATGATCCAACTCTGAAAAACAAATAAAATTCATGTAATAAAAATTTATAGTCATTAATAGTAAATTAAATTTAATAGTTTGAACGATAATTACCGTCAGCAGTGTAGCATAGCCTGTCAACTGCCGTTTCCTCCACTTAGAGGCTTCATTTAGATATTGGTACAAGTATACCAAATAGCCGACCCCCAGTTCCACTCTCTCACTGTATCAAAATCTATGAAGTACTAAAGGCATGCTACATCTACGTAGTTGGCGATTTTGTCCACAAAAATTGACGTGCCAACTAAGAACATGAAGTAACACCTCAGAGCACACTGACGATGATAAAGAATAAAGAAGTTGTCTCTCTGTGACTGGGAAACAACTGTTGTAGAGAGGTGCTGGTCATACTGCTCCTTAAGAAATGAGAACTTGGCATGAGCCTCATTGGGGGAGGAACACTGCATAAATGCATCTTCTGGACCAATTCCAAGATATTCGACCATCCATTCAATCGCTAAATTACGATCGATATGGGAGTGGTTAAGTAACCTCCCTCTGACAGGAAGGTGTAACAGGCAGGCAATGTCAACAAGTGTAATTGTCATATCCCCAATAGGAAAGTGGACAGATGACGTCTCTTTGTGCCACCTCTCCACAAATGTCCCGTGCATGCCGTGGCTGATGGTGCTATATCTAGAACAACAAAGGCCGACAAGTCTGGAGCCAAAAATGGCCTCTCTAAACCAAGCCTCATTAGGGTGATACAACTCAGATATCATCCGCGCGTGGTTCACACACTTTAGTGGTCGATGTTCCTATAAAGATAAATAATTAATATCAATTTTAACATATTAATGCTTAAATGATTTAAATTAAAAGTGTAACAAAGAATAATATATTTGTCCCTCCAAAATATATCGAGCGACATGATCAGTGTAATAGATCAAGAGGAAGGTGTCAGACAACCCTCTTACAAAAATTGGGTTAGCCTCATCCTCGGGTTCCGGAACATCATCCATTTCGGGTTCCTCCTCCTCGTTATCCCTAGACGAGGACGCACGTGAAAGTCGACTCCTCGGAGCAGAAGTCAGCGCTCCCTCCACTTCCACCCACGGTACCTGACTGCGTCCTCGACGACTCATAGTCTGCTCAGCTCTTTCTCGTTGAGAGGATGCAGTTTGGCTAGGCCTACCAAGTCTTAATCTATTGGGGTTCTCTTCCATTATTCTGGAATAACAAATAATCGTTAATCAAATCAAAGGTACAAGAACGAACAAGAAAATATTTAAAAATTAAAAAAAAATTAACCCAAGCCTTTTTACGGAGATGCATCTCTGAAACATATCAAAGGGGTATTCAGAGACGCATCTCCCGAAAAAGCCTGCGACTTCTATTTCCAAACTTCAACCTAACATCATCAATCTTACCCCAAAACCCAATTTTTACACCTAAAAGAGAGCTTTTTCCAGTTTGTACAGAATCTAAACAACTAAAAATAGAAATACAAAGATTAAAATGGATTGGAGACCTTACTCTCAAATTTGAAGCTTTTAGAGTTGTTGAATTATGATGATATTGAGAGTTGGAGTGAGTTGTAACAAGTGAAAATGAGTACACCAACTTGAATGACATTTGAAAGTAGAGATTTTTGGAGGTTTTTGGGTGTTTGAGAGTTAGATTTTGGATGAAATAAGAATAAGGGGGTGACTGTTCGTATTTGTTTCTGTCATGCCCTTTTTCGGAGATGCATCTCCGAAAAACCCCTGATTTTGAAAACAATAAAAAGTTCGGAAACGCATCTCCGAAATAACTCCAGAAAAAAATAAATAGTGGTGCATTCGGAAATGTATCTCCGAATTCTAGGGGTAAAAAGGAAATTTTGCCAGAGGTGGCTAAGAAGATGTAAGGGTGGGGAAAGAAACTCCATTCTAT